GAAGTGGCGGGGACATTAAGGGCTTATTAGGGGTGTGGCCAAACACTTAGACCCGACACTCCAAAGCTATTCAGGAGAAATATTCATTGGTAGAGCTGGCTGTTCAATAGGGGGTCTGGCTCCTCCCCCAGAAGGTTTTGAGCATTAAACCCTTCACTTCCTGCATTCTGGAGACAATTTATGCACCAGTTTATGGTGGAAATGTCTTTGTTTATATGAAGGGAAACCACATTCATGTGGCCGGAGACAGATCAGAAAATATAAATATTATTGAATATGATGCGTTAACAGGCAGCCTGTTCTTTTAGCCTCAGTTACTTTTTTGGATCTTTATCGTCTATATTTACATTGAATTTCATGTTTTCCTGTTGTGCAAGAAAACCTTTCTCAGAGTTTTTATTTGCTATTTAACATTTCTTGTTGCGAGCTAATTTTCAGAATACTTTTAGCAAATGTTTTCAAAAAGTGGCGGGAACATGTCCCCAGCGTCCCCAGTGTAAATGACACCTGTGGACGTCACACGCAGCAGCAGCTGTTGCAGTAAACAAGGAGCCACAGAGGTTAGCTCACAAGACACTCCCCTTTTTCAATCTCCTCTCACGGGTCACTGATCTCCTCAACTTTCTGTTCACAACTTGTAAGGCCGTCGTGGCGTTCACACTACGGGACTGATCGGTGACGGGGGGTCACACACTAGAGGAGGTGACGGCGACCGTGTCACCCGACGCCGGTCTCCAAACCACGTTTAGTCAAGGAAACACAAGTGAAATGTGAAACGGGAAATGAGCGATCCTGCACAGGAAACAGCTGTTAGTTAGTATGAAGACTGCAGGTGTAGCTGTGATCGTCTGAGCTGCGGAGAGCTGCAGTGAAAAAGTAGCCGCCTGCTCTCATTGGCTGGATGTGGATGTCAGTCGGCCGACTCCTCCAGATATTTGGCGTGTTAGATATCTGGCAGACGTCGGCGATGTGTCGGGAAGCCGTTTTGATGCGTCAGAGTAGTTCAGACATAACGACTGGCGACCGCCGATCACAGCCTGACGGTCGCCGAGCGGCAGATCGTGCTAAAAATCGTGCAGTGTGAACTCCGCTTTAGTTTCATTGCGGTTTCTGGCGCTGTGCAACCCAACTCCCTTCCCCCCCCCCCCCCCCCCCCCCCCCCCCCGTGTCCGCTGGACAGGCAGCATGCAGGTAGCTCAGCACAGAGCTGGCGGTCCGCTGGGTTTCAGGTGGAAGAAGCCGGGAGGAAGAGAGCCACGTGCTTAATTATGGCCAAAGTGATTAAACGGGTACAAAGACGATAAAACGCGATTAGAGCCTCGGGCCCCTCTAAGGGAGCTGCTCCAGAGTCTCGGGGCCCTGACTGCAAACTGTCCCCTTTAATTTTCGGTCCGTGCTGGTGCGTCTGGGACCGAAAGGTCAGAAGAGGGCGAGAGGTCACGAAGAGCTTTATAGGAGACCTATTGAACTTCTGTTCCAGTCCTATATTGTAGTTCTGTGACTCCTGTATTTCAGCTGTGCATGATCCAAAGTTCAAATATATTTTATTTTCTTACACTGGCTTTTAATGCAGGCCTGCATTTCAGCCTCTGTCTGAAACAAGCTGTAGATGCTCCTGTCTCTTTAAGGCCCCCCCCTCTCAAAGCCCACTGTCTTCTGATTGGCCAAGACCTCAAGCATGTTACCAGGCTGCTGTCGCTGGGCGGAACAGGCGGACTGAGCGTTGCCGTGCCGTCAGTGTGGGAGCACATGACCATATAAGGAACAGTTGGTAGAAAAAGCAGAGCGTTCAGAAATCTGAGGTTTCTGCTCGCAGGGATTTCTTTTAAATGCTTTGACTTCACTATTTGAAGCTTTGGCCATGTTTAACATGAACATCCAACATCATAACACTGTAGATAAGTCATAAAATGTGGAAAAGCATAATAGGTCTCCTTTTAAAAGGAATCTGAAACATCCTGGGAGCCCGTGTGGTGAAACTGGTTCTGAACGGTCTGGACTGGTTCAGTAGATGTTCTGTTGCAGGACTCGGCGTGATGAGATGACGGCCTGTGAAAAGCTCAGTGTCTTTAAAAGTTGATCATGTTTCTGATTTCTGCGATGCTAAAAAGCTCTTGGTGTTCTGATCAAGACCCAAATCATCACCGGGGCCCGTATTCATCACGCCTCTCAGGACGGCTCCTCAGAACGCTGCTAAGAGACATTGTTGGCTCAAAGGTTAGTCATCCAGTATGAAGCGGAGGACTAAACCTTAGACTCGGTCTGTCAGCTGATTGACGGCACAGACGGGCTGTGGGATGACCATGTAGGCAAGAACCAATCATGGAAGACATCTACTTATTTAAGAGAAATTCACCTGGAACGGTGAAACTCCTGAGAGTTTCTGTTCGACATTTGACAAGAAGTTTTAAGAGGTGGAAATGAAAGAGAAAAGATGATCTTTACAGCAGCAGGTCTGTTGGCGTATTCATCACCGGGGGCCCCGTATTCATCACCGGGGCCCCGTATTCATCACCGGGGGCCCCGTATTCATCACCGGGGGCCCCGTATTCATCACCGGGGGCCCCGTATTCATCACCGGGGGCCCCGTATTCATCACCGGGGCCCAGTATTCATCACCGGGGGCCCCGTATTCATAAAGATTCTAAGAATCCTTTCAGAAACTTCTACGTAGCAGTCTTTGCTTAAGAGCGATCAGGGACTGATCTGAGAGCAACTCTGAGCAAAAAAGACAAACTTTCATCTTAGTGAGGAGGCGGGGTTGACCCTGTTGCTATGGATGACGCAGTCTTTGGAAGACTGTGATTGGTTGGTTGTCCAAGAAGGTAAAATAGTGATTTTAAGTAAAGGTTCTTTTCTAAGCCTTAACTTTGGAAATTACATGTGTAATATTTCCCGGTTGACCGTTCTCTCTCTCTCACACACACATTATATATGTGTACATAGATCCTGTTTTTTTATTTACCATGCTGTTCATTTTCTACAAGGTATTTGATTGGCTTAGAATGATAAAGTGTTCTGCTGGTTGCTGGCGTGTCTATTTAAGAGCTGGTTTGAACGTATCAAACATGGAATCAAAACCAAGAAGAGAAGAAAGCCCGACAGAGGAACAGTGTTTACTGTTAGTCCAGTTAGTGGATGAACACAAGGCCATTCTAAAAGGACAATTCGGGCCGGGCGTCACAGCGCGGGGCGAGAAGCAGACGTGGGAGCGTACGGCACAAACTATTAACGGTTCATTCCCCCTGCTTGTGCGCACCAGGTGCGAGGTGGGAATGTCCAGTGGAAGCGAAATGAACTGCGACACAACGAGAGGCTGAAAGTGCTGTGTGGTCGTTTGTGTGATCACTCCGCTTACAGAAGGTGGTGACAGACCCAAATCATCACTGCTGCATTTCCCCAGTAATGTAGTGATTCCTTTCATTCCTGCGCGTCTCCAATAAGATCCGTCACAAACACGATCCCTGCACCATCTGACCTACAGCGTCTGATTAACTCACAACAACACGTTTCTTCTCCCTCTTCGTCTTTCTGACATTTTCTCCTCCACTAAAGAAACTCGTCCTCGTCCCGGCTCCTAACTATTTTCACCGTAAGACCTCTTTCAAGGGTTAAGATGCTTTCTGAATTACTTTTTTCTTTAATTTTAAGAGTAAACGCCTCACTCTGTATGCAGCATCAGTGACTTGAACCTGACTCTGGAGGCCCCGGGGAGCCAGTGGAGGTCACTGAGTAATGGACTGACATGAGTCCTTTTGGGCTGATCAAAAACCAGACGTGCTGCTGCGTTCTGAACCATTTGTAAGGGTTTCACCAGAGAGCGAACCAGGGCCTGTACCAGAAGCATTTCTAAGAATTTTCTTAGAATTTTGTCACTAGGAGCTACTCTTTGCCTTAAGATTTTTTATGAATACGGGTCCTGATCTTTACATGAACTGTGAGGTGTTGGTGGGAAGGCCACGAAGCGCCTGACTGCGTGTGGAGCTGTTTCATGACAGTTCAGCTCTTTGATTGTTGTGAAGGCCAAAATCATCATGTCCCGCGGCAAATAAACGCAGCGTCATCAGCACCTTCAGTTCAGCTGAAAACGTTTTGCTGCGTGAAGTAAGCGTTGAGATGACGTCGCTCGCCAGCTGGCTGTCCGAGCCGTCTAATAAAGTGCACATCATCAAATAATTCAGAAACATTCTTCCTCTCCTGAAAGATTCCCGCATGGCTCCTCAGCGCCGCCAGCAGCCCTGCTGGCAGCCGCTCAGACCTCTAGAGCTGCTGGAATACCTGGAGAGCAAATCTCAGATTTAAAGAGGTCATATTCTGCTTTGTGGCTTTCCCCCTCTCCTTTATGGAGTTATAAATCTTTTTAGTGCTGTAACAGGTTTGCAAAGTGAAAAAGCCCAAAGTGAGTTCCCATCTCCCACAGAAAACTCTGCTCTGAACTGAAAACAGCTCGTTTGTAGTCCAGCCGCTTCCCTTTCATCCCTGTGACGTCACAGGGATGAAAGCTAAACGCGGCTTATATAACGCTCGCCAAGCGGCTACTCCGCCAAGCCGGTCGGCAACACGTACGGCTGAACCCGAGCTGTTTACCGGCTTCTCGCTGACCCGCCCTTCTCTGCTTCTGATTGGCTAGTAGTCCTTAACTAGGAACTGAGCATGTGCAACTCCCGACAAAGATCATGTAGAGACAAGATGTATCACTCCATAGCTAAAACGAAGCCTTCAACACAGGCTAAAAAGAGGAGCTGCAGCAATGTGCAGTATGACAAAAATATAACCATGTAAACCTGCTCTGGTACAACCTCTAAATAAGATGAGGAACCTGAAAATGAGCAGAATAACACCTCTTTGAGAAGTTTGATAGATTCCTGGGCCCGGGGCTGAACAGACCTCAGGGTCACACCTGTGTGAGATCCTGGTCTGGATTGTTTGCAGGGCTCTGGAGGACTGATGTGTTGATTAGTGTGATTGGCTCCACCTGCTGCTGCTGATATAAACCAAGAGACAAGAGCCAGATCTGCTTCAGACCAGGTGAGACGCTGACTCAGGTAAGTGGGCCGCACTCATTCAGATTTCAGTCCTAGGTTGTGGTTTAACGTCCCTTTCTGTTCCTGGTTTTGCAGAACCTGAACCCGTTCCTGCCTCCGTCATCATGTCAGCAATTAAAACAGGATCGTCTCTCCGGAGTCTGGTTCTGACCCCGGAGAGGATCCCGTCCTTCATCATCCCCCCCCACAGTCCGCTCCTGTTTCTGTCTCCGCGGCCTCACCGGATGTCACCGGACCGGACCAGACTGCTGTCCGAGCCTGATGAGGCCAGTCCGGGAACGAGCCCCCCCGGGACGCCGATCAGCCCCGCTACCTCGCGCCGCTTCCTGCCGCGGCTCCGACGCCCCCGCCGCGCCGCGGCAGAGCCGGACACGGACGTGACGACGCGCGCAGCCATGTCTCTGCCGCACGTGGGGAAGGTGACCACGCCCTACGGGTTCCGCGCCGTACTGGCCGCGAGCCCGTGCACACGCCGGCGGGAGTCGCTGTTCCACCAGAACAAACCGGTGACCGAAACCCACCTGCGGGACCCGGCGGACCCCCTTCCACCTCCCGGTCCAGGTCCCAGCGAGTCCCGGGTCAGCCTGCGGCCCGTCAGAGCTCTGGGTCTGCAGCTGATGAAGGAGCTGAAGAAGCCAGCAGCGGCTCTAAAGGCGCTGAGTCCGGCCCCGAGGACGCGCCCCCGCTGACGTCACTCAGACTCACCTGCCAGGTAGACCGGGTCTCCGCGCGTCAGGACTCTGACCACGTTTAATGTTCTAATAAACTATGTTTTTAATAAAGTTTGTGGCGCTTCACGTGTTTCTGACCTTCATTTAAAAACTGCTGCACAACAGAATCCTGTGGTCATGAGCTTTATTCAGATGAAACGTAACGAATTAAATCTTAAACTGGACCCTGAAACAAACAGTGGGCCAGTGTCCCCGGGGCCAGTGCCAGGGTCCCATCAGCTGCTCCGGGATCAGACTTTCAGTGAGGGGTTCTGAGGCCGAGAGAAATAAAAACACAACAAATCGATCTGTAACATTGAAGAACAAAGATTTAGAAAATCATTAAAACTCGTGTTTATTATTCACCGCGTCCTCGGTCAGCGTCTCCTTCATTAAATAAAAATCCATCTCATGTCTGGACGTGTTTATTGATCAGTTGCGTTATTTTTAACATGTTCTAATAAAGACAAAGTTAAAGCTTCTCTTTAATGGCAGAGACCAACTTTTCCACAAGAAAACGTCATAAGAATTAAGTCATGTTTTAACAGCTTTTTGATTCACTGTCCCTGTGACAAAGAAGTGGTTTATTTATTTATGTTAATTATTTAATGTATTTACGTATTTAGATTATTTAATATATTTATTTAATGTATTTATTTATTTAGATTATTTAATATTTATTTAGATTATTTAATATATTTATTTAATGTATTTATTTATTTAGGTTATTTAATATATTTATTTAGATTATTTATATTATTGATTTAATGTATCTATTTATTTTAATTATTTAATGTATTTATTTATTTAGATTATTTAATATATTGATTTAATATATTTATTTAGATTATTTAATGTATTTATTTTTTATGTTGCTGTAATAATGACACATTTATCCAGAAACTTTTATCTTCATAAACAAACTTTATTTATTTACATTTCTTTTTGCCGCGTGCTCCACGCGCTGCCGACGTCACAGTCACGTCGCAACGCACAGCAGGAAATGTAGTTTTCGGCAGATGCGTCTCGTCGTTGTGGCGGGTAAGTGTGTCTCTGCGGGGACGGAGCGTTAATGTTAAACCTGGTCACAGTGTCCGGTACCGGGCCGGTCGTGTAGGTGCCGGACCGGAGAGTCAGAACCCGGACGGGCTCACCGGGACTCCGGCTCCGTCCGTGGGACCGGACCGCTAGGCTAACGTTAGCATGCTAGCCGGCTGGATGGGTGTTAGCATGCTAGCCGGAGGAAAGCAGCGCGACACCGGACAGAAGATCCGGTTTACCGGACAGAAGCTAGCTGCTAGCTCAGTGACGGAGTAACCGGGCTCTCGTGGTTCTGGTCCGGATTATTTCGGTCAGACTTCATGAGCTCATGTTGTGCTCGTGCTGCAGATCAATACACTCACTGAAGTACTTAAGTACACGTCTGAGGTATTTTGTACTTGATGAAACTTCAGCTCTGCATCAACATTCAGCTGTTAAAGTAATAAAACGAGTACTTTTACTTCGGATACCTGCAGTACATTTAGTTGCTACTGAAGCTTCTGTACTGCAGTATTCTGATGTTCAGCAGTAAACAGGTGACCGGGGACGTTTTGGTTTGGTGGTCAGTGTGTCCTTTAAAATATAATGATATTATATATGAAATGTAGGACTGGACTGGTCGGTACTCAGCAAGAGATCACGTCTTTATTTTATATATAACTCGGCAGTTAGTCGTGTTGATTTCAGGCTACAGTCTGTTTTCAAAAAAAAAACCTGTTCCAACAACAGGCTTCTGTTATTGGCTATAAACACGTTCACGTCCAGCCTGGTTACACTTCAACACTTAATTTGGCCTCCACCGTGTCCACGTTAAAGGAAACGTTTCACAAAGACAAAGCTTTGCTGTTTGTTTGATCTGTCGATGCAGCTGTACCACGCTGCGCTCCCGGTGCTGTTCAGCAGCACGCCGGGCTGCTCTGCTGTCCACGTAAAATCTGATTTCAGGTCTGTTAACACGCGATACAGTCTGAGATTAACACACAGTTCAGACTGGGGACATTCTGGTCCAGGGGCGCCGCTAGACACAAAGCTCCGCTGGGCCCCCGTGTTGTTTCTGATTGAAATGTGTCAGCGTGAGCCCGTTAATCTTGGTTCTGTCAGAACCGGAGCGTAAACACACGCCTGTGTTCTGGGTGCTGCGTTACCATTTGCCGCGACCTTTAAAACTGTCTCTGCTACACGCCTGAACGGAAACCTCTTCTGCTGTCAGGGAAGAAACCAGAAATATTCGCTTCTAACAACCTGAGAATTTTACTGAAAACATGACTCAACCCGATGATCGATTATCAAAATAGGTGGCGATTAATTAAATAGTTGACAGCGAATAGATTATCGATTAATCCGTGCAGCTCTGGTTCCAGCGTGTCGTAAAGTGAACGTTTACGACAGCGTGAAGACGTCACTGTGACAGAATGGTGAGGAGAGGAAATGCTGATCAGGGTGATTGATGGCGTCCTCGTCACCTGTGACCAGCTGACCCGTTGATACGTAACGTCGGTCGTGTCTGTCGCTGTTTCAGAGGTCATGTTTCTCCAGAATGAACCCGGTCCGCAAACGCCTCAAACTCAGCCCGTCCAAACCTGCTGTCAGCGCCAGGGCGCCACGTCCTCAGCTCCACTTCCATGATGCTTTGCTGCCGCCGCCTCCTGCTGCTCCTCCAGGGGGCGGAGCTGAGGAGGATGAGGAGGGTTACCTGCTGGTGGAGGAAGACACCACCGACTCCAGCCTCATCATCACCATGGGTAACGCGCGCACACACACACACACACACACTGTTTGTGATGTCACAGTACACTCAGGTACAGGTGTGTTAGATGATGATGTCACTTCCTGTCTGTGTGTCTGTCAGAGGACAATCAGGTGGAGGTGAAGGCAGCGAGGAGGAGAGCTATGAGGAAGAGGAGGAGGAAAGTGACTGAAGAGGAAGAGGACGAGGGGGGCGGAGCCTCAGAGAGCGAGGACGAGGTGGCGGGCGTTGACATGGAGATTGACAGACAGCTGGACCAATCATTGGAGACAAAGTCCAAACAGCACAACCTGACCACGGTGAACGTCAGGAACATCATCCACGTGAGTTCATTCACACACCGGCTGAGACCGGCTGAGTCCGCGTCAGACCGGCTGAGTCCGCGTCAGACCGGCTGAGTCCGCACTGTGTTATTAGCGTGTCATTAACGTGTTAACTGATCATGTGACTCACTCTGTGCGAACAGGAAGTGATCACCAACGAACACGTCGTGGCCATGATGAAAGCTGCCATCAACGAGACAGAGGCCGTCCCTCCATTTGTGAGTCTCGTCCAATCAGAATGCACAATTGGATCTCATTAATATTTATGAACCTGCAGAACTCTTCACCAATCAGATGTTTTCTTTTCTCCAGGAGCCAAAAATGACCCGATCCAAGTTTAAAGAAGTCGTGGAGAAAGGAGTGGTGAGACATACCTGTCCGTCTCTCTGTCTGTCTCTCTGTCTGTCTCACCTGTCTCTGTGTCTCACCTGTCTGTCAGTTTGTCTCACCTGTCTCTATGTCTCACCTGTCTCTCTGTTTGTCTTACCTGTCTTTCTGTCTCACCTGTCTGTGTCTCACCTGTCTTTGTGTCTGTCTCACCTGTCTCTGTGTCTCACCTGTCTCTGTGTCTCTGTCTGTCTCACCTTTCTCTCTGTCTCACCTGTCTTTTTGTCTCTGTGTCTCACCTGTCTTTGTGTCTGTCTCACCTGTCTCTCTGTCTCATCTGTCTTTGTGTCTCTCTGTCTGTCTCACCTGTCTCTCTGTCTGTCTCATCTGTCTCTTTGTCTCACCTGTCTGTCTCACCTGTCTCTGTGTATCACCTGTCTGTCTCACCTGTCTCTGTGTCTCTGTCTCACCTGTCTTTGTGTCTCTCTGTCTCACCTGTCTCTGTGTCTCACCTGTCTGTCTCACCTGTCTCTGTGTCTCACCTGTCTCTGTCTCACCTGTCTCTGTGTCTCACCTGTCTCTGTCTCACCTGTCTTTCTCACCTGTTTGTCTCACCTGTCTCTGTGTCTCACCTGTCTGTCTCACCTGTCTCTGTGTCTCACCTGTCTCTGTCTCACCTGTCTTTGTGTCTCTCTGTCTGTCTCACCTGTCTCTGTGTCTCACCTGTCTCTCTGTCTCACCTGTCTTTGTGTCTCTCTGTCTCATCTGGCTCTGTGTCTCACCTGGCTCTCTCTGTCTCACCTGGCTCTCTGTCTCACCTGTCTTTGTGTCTCTCTGTCTCATCTGTCTCTCTGTCTCACCTGTCTCACCTGTCTTTGTGTCTGTCTCACCTGTCTTTCTGTCTCACCTGTCTCTGTGTCTCACCTGTCTCTGTGTCTCACCTGTCTTTCTCACCTGTTTGTCTCACCTGTCTTTGTGTCTCTGTGTCTCACCTGTTTGTCTCACCTGTCTTTGTGTCTCTGTGTCTCACCTGTCTGTGTCTCACCTGTCTGTCTCTCTGTCTGTCTCTCTGTCTTTGTGTCTCACCTGTCCTCTGTGTTTCCAGGTGATTCCAGCCTGGAACATTTCTCCCATCAAGAAGACCAGTGATGTCAACAAGGTAAAGGTCAAAGGTCAAACACCTGGAAACGGTTTAATTCCTGTATAAACACTGATTAAGTTGAACTGATCCAGATCAATAGTGACCAGCTGTCTGTGTTCAGCCTCCTCAGTTTGTGGACATCCCTCTGGCTGAGGAAGACTCCTCTGATGAAGAGTACCGTCCTGATGAGGAAGAGGAGGACGAGACGGCTGAAGATGTGAGGCTGCGCTCTGATTGGCTGCACTTTCATACTGTGTGTGTAGACGTATTGATTATCGATGGATGGCTGTGTGTGCAGACGTTCCAGGAGAGCGACATGGAGAGCACAGCCTCGTCCCCCAGAGGGAGTCGGCTGACCCGGGTGGAGGAGGACAGCTGCAGCCCCTGGCAGGTAACAGAGCGGGATGGAAATATTCTCACCTGCCGAGACGAACGTGTCCACGTACAGGTGTGTGTGTGTGTGTGTGAGAGACACCCGCTCAATTATCAGTTCAGTAAAACTCACAGCAGATGAAGTTTCTTCTTGGTGGGTTTTTTCCTGCTTTGACCACCTGTGAGATCAGTTCATCATAACGAGGTGACGTCGCACATGGCGACGTAACAAAATGACCTCACGCCAGATATCTGCAGTGAACTGTTTTATAAATGCTCTCTGTCCACACAGGTGAACAGGTGCCGCACAGGTGAGCCCACAGCCTGTGACAGGTATTTGTTAGCATTAGAAACTCTGTGTAGATTGTAGAACTGTAGACTAGAATCATGTCAGCAGGGTCCTCTGACAGCAGGTCTGGACTCGTCTCTGTCCTCTGGCTGGACCCCTGATGCGATCTTTAGGACTAAGCGATGACCTTAGAAGGTATTACATTTTCACTTCTCACATTTTAGTCACAGAGGACAAATATAGTTTCTTGCCTGCTGTTGGCAGCAACACACACATTAAGGTAAAGTCCACCTACCAGCACCTCTAAAACTTGCCGATTAACACGGATCTCGTTTGTTTGATCGGAACTAAAACCGAAGCCACCAAACCGCTGTGGTCTTTGTCATCTCCGGAGTCCTGGTCCTGGTCGGAGCCGCTTTAAATCACCTCAGTACTATATTCCTTATGGTCACACTGGGGGCTGTGTTTGGTCCCGGTCTTACCGTGTTCCCTGGGAGGCTGCATAGCCTGGTTCCGTTGCCCAACATGCCCGGCTCCAGTTTTGGCGCTCATTCTGTGTTCCTCGCCCCAGGCCTGAAACTGTCTTCCACCAAAGCTCCTGCGGTAGTGGTGTGAACAGCAACACGCCGCCTGTACTCTGAACGCCCAGGTCAGGTAGAGTCAGCAAATCGGGCCGCTAACTGAGCTAACTAAAGTTTGCAGCAGTATGCCAGTAAGTGACTTCCTGCGTTACCAGAGAAAAGGTCCGTGTTGCAACAATCCCCTGATGCTTTCGTCTAGGTGACAGTGCTCGATGTGGGACGGTTGTATCGTGACTTTTTCTTTGCACCGCCACTTCTCATTAGTGACTGGTACTCTTCTCTGCCCTCTCCATACTAGGTTCTTTGGACGATTCATAATGGCCCTAAACAAACTGCATAACCCAGGGGGAACTACTTTACGCTCACCTGTTCCCGCTCTTGCGTACCTGCTAGTCTCTGTCAGCGGCTGGTCTAAGTAACATTACATAAACCTTACAAAGCCTGGCTCATCACAGGCACAAAGAGAAGACCAACAGTGGGAAGACGATACAACAGAAAAAGTAAAATCATAAACACGCCACCTAGGGATGGGGATCGAGACTCAGTTCCAAAAGAACCCGCTTCCAAAATTTCTCAAAACCCGAAAATCAATAAGGTTCGAGCTTATCGAGACTTGCGGGTCCTATGATGTAACGTTGTCTTGAGCGTCAAATCTTATTTAATTTGAAACGCAATGCATAAGAAAATCATCAGGCTGCAGTCTCTGCCTGCTCTCTGTCGCCTCCTCACACAGCGCAGGAGCAGAGCGAGAGGCGGCGCCGTCGTGGTGGAATACGGTGAGGGTTAAGTTAGCTCCAAACTACTGTAACATTAGTTGATGACAGCTGCGCTCGTTACTGTAAGTACGTGTAATAAAACCTTTGCAAGTAAAAATACTTTATCAATACACCTGTCTGTAAGGTCACGCTAAACATGTAGAAAGGGTTAATTTAATCCTCTCTGTCCTCAGTCTCTCATCCTGTATGTTTTAGACAAGCACAGCTAACGCTAGCTTGGCATTAGCCAGATGTTTGCCTGAAGCACAGACGGGTCTGTAGTCTTAAACTCAGCTGAGACAAACCAGCTGCTCCTTTTACCTGGTAACGTTACCTGCAGCCAGAGAGAGAGGAGGAGGGACTGATACAGACTGATGTTGTTCTTTCTAAACGCCACTCACTACTTGTGATGTCAGATAAAGTTACTGAGTTACTTTTCTGTTGTAAACATTAATGTTACTGCTCTAGAAACAACATTTAGCTGTATTTAAAATCTTTAATTAAAAACAACCAGGCAGTTAATAAGTACACTTCAATATATGTTTATTTATCGCAAGTGATATGTCATCTCAGTATATAACGTTATTACACATTGAATATTTTCCTCATACTGTGCAGGCCTACCTCAGGCCGGTTGGGTCTGGTCTTACCAAATAATCATCACTAAATAATTGTAAAGTATTGATAGTGGTATCGATAAAGAATCGGATCGTTAAGCAATTTCAATAATGGTATCAATAAAAATTAACGATCCCCATCTCTAACGTCAACATGTAAATAAGGGGAGGAAGGCACTGCCAAGTGACAAGGTGCAACTCCTGGATGGGGTTTGAGTAGGGAAGTAGGACTCTTTGAAGGGTTGACAGTGGATGTGACGCCAGTGTACGCCGGGATAGTAATCAACTGGACCCGCTATCGAGCTGAGAGTTGCAGGCAATTTGTGAATAGATTGGTAACTGGGGAGTTCTTGTAAAGGGGAGTGGAGTTACGGCTGGCAGAAAAAGAACGGCTCTCACCAATGACTCTGTTTAACGTTCGTACCAAAGAGCCATTGAAAAGCCTAAAATGTAACGTTCATGCAGGTCGATGATATTGAGGAAAAACCCTGCCTCCGCTTTGAAGTGGTTCATCTGTTGTCACATCAAACACTAAAAACAGTCCCCTCCCCCCTTCAGACTTCTCGTAGCCGCTCCAGACGTTTGAGGGCGGGATCTGTCTCAATGGGACCTCCCCCTCCTCCCAAAGCCCCACCTATCAAAGCAGTGACTGACAGCAGCTTCTTGGAGGAACTTCATGCTGTGGAGGAGGAGCTGGCTGTGTGTATGGAGCCCTACCAGGTAAGACACTGAAAACATACTGCCAGTTAAACAAGAACAACATATCCAAATATGGAAGTAGGTATGAAAAGGCGGTAGAGCTTAAGGACCTGACGTTAGCTCTTTAGGACCAGTTGGTTGTGTATTCGGACCCATCAGTAGTTCTTTAGGACCCAGACGTCAGCACTTGAGGACCAAACGGTATTGCTTAAGGACGAGTTGGTAGTGGATTCCGGCCCATCAATAGTCCTTAAGGACCAGTCGATATTGCTTTAGGACAAGTTGGTAGTGTGTTCGGACCCATCAGTAGTTCTTTAGGACCAGTTGGTAGTGTGTTCGGTCCCATCAGTAGTTCTTTAGGACCAGTTGGTAGTGTGTTCGGACCCATCAGTAGTTCTTTAGGACCAGTTGGTAGTGTGTTCGGACCCATCAGTAGTTCTTTAGGACCAGTCGGTAGTGTGTTTGGACCCATCAGTAGTTCTTTAGGACCAGTCGGTAGTGTGTTCGGACCCATCAGTAGTTCTTTAGGACCCAGACGTCAGCACTTTAGGACCAAACGGTATTGCTTAAGGACGAGTTGGTAGTGGATTCCGGCCCATCAGTAGTCCTTAAGGACCAGTTGGTAGTGTGTTCGGACCCATCAGTAGTTCTTAAGGACCAGTCGGTAGTGTGTTCAGACCCATCAGTAGTTCTTTAGGACCAGTCGGTAGTGTGTTCGGGCCCATCAGTAGTTCTTTAGGACCAGTCGGTAGTGTGTTCGGGCCCATCAGTAGTTCTTAAGGACCAGTCGGTAGTGTGTTCGGGCCCATCAGTAGTTCTTAAGGACCAGTCGGTAGTGTGTTCGGGCCCATCAGTAGTTCTTTAGGACCAGTCGGTAGTGTGTTCGGGCCCATCAGTAGTTCTTTAGGACCAGTTGGTAATGTGTTCGGACCCATCAGTAGTTCTTTAGGACCAGTCGGTAGTGTGTTCGGACCCATCAGTAGTTCTTTAGGACCAGTCGGTAGTGTGTTCGGACCCATCAGTAGTTCTTTAGGACCCAGACGTCAGCACTTTAGGACCAAACGGTATTGCTTAAGGACGAGTTGGTAGTGGATTCCGGCCCATCAGTAGTCCTTAAGGACCAGTTGGTAGTGTGTTCGGACCCATCAGTAGTTCTTAAGGACCAGTCGGTAGTGTGTTCAGACCCATCAGTAGTTCTTTAGGACCAGTCGGTAGTGTGTTCGGGCCCATCAGTAGTTCTTTAGGACCAGTCGGTAGTGTGTTCGGGCCCATCAGTAGTTCTTAAGGACCAGTCGGTAGTGTGTTCGGGCCCATCAGTAGTTCTTTAGGACCAGTCGGTAGTGTGTTCGGGCCCATCAGTAGTTCTTAAGGACCAGTCGGTAATGTGTTCGGGCCCATCAGTAGTTCTTTAGGACCAGTTGGTAGTGTGTTCGGACCCATCAGTAGTTCTTAAGGACCCAGACGTCAGCACTTTAGGACCAAACGGTATTGCTTAAGGATGAGTTGGTAGTGGATTCCGGCCCATCAATAGTCCTTAAGGACCAGTCAATATTGCTTTAGGACAAGTCGGTAGTGTATTTGGGCCCATCAGTAGTTTTGAAGGACCCATTAGTAGTTCTTTAGGACCAGTCGGTAGTGTATTCGGGCCCATCAATAGTCCTTAAGGACCAGTCGGTACAGCTTTAGGACAACTTGGTAGTTTACTCGGGCCCATCAGTAGTTTTGAAGGACCCATTAGTAGTTCTTTAGGACCAGTCGGTAGTGTGTTCAGGCCCATCAATAGTCCTTTAGGACCAGTAGTTCTTTAGGACCAGTCGATACAGCTTTAGGACAACTCGGTAGTGTGTTCGGACCCATCAGTAGTTTTGAAGGACAACTTGGTAGTGTATTCGGGCCCATCAGTAGTCCTTAAGGACCAGTTGGTAGTGTGTTCGGACCCATCAGTAGTTCTTAAGGACCCAGACGTCAGCACTTTAGGACCAAACGGTATTGCTTAAGGATGAGTTGGTAGTGGATTCCGGCCCATCAATAGTCCTTAAGGACCAGTCAATATTGCTTTAGGACAAGTCGGTAGTGTGTTCGGGCCCATCAGTAGTTCTTTAGGACCAGTTGGTAGTGTGTTCGGACCCATCAGTAGTTCTTTAGGACCAGTTGGTAGTGTGTTCGGACCCATCAGTAGTTCTTTAGGATAACTTGGTAGTGTATTCGGGCCCATCAGTACTTCTTAAGGACCAATCGGTCGTGTATTCGGACCCGTTAGTAGTAGTTAGTAGTCGGTAGCACTTTAGCCCTACAACCAATTGGTCCTAAACGATTTTGGAAAATAAACTAATTGCGATTTTTTTTTTTTTTTTTAACCAATATTGCAATTGCAATTATTAAGATCTTTATCTTCTTTATTATTAAACACAGACAAGCAATAAATCATTGTATGCTATGACTTACACAGTATTAGATAGATTTAACATACACTGTTCTTTCTTGTAGGCCAGCAGGCAGAGCTTTAATAAATAAACAATGTGGATATATTGATTATTGATTATTGGTCTCTTCCAGCCTCTGTCCGAGTCACAGGACGAGGTGGGTCTAATGGCGTACCGGACTCGGTCCAAGCGTCCCCTACGTGACATCCCGCTGGGCCGTCTGGAGGCAGAGCTCCGGGCTCCTGACATCACACCTGACATGTACGACTCCAGCTCCACCCACGAGGACAGGGAGTGGACTGATTGGCTGAGAGGGCTAATGACCTCAGAGATAGAAAATGAAGGTGTGTGTAGCTCTGTCACACAGTGTGACTCATTTTCTCTCTCAGTTCAATTCAAACGGCTTACTGTCATCAAAGTTTCAAGAACAATGTTGCCAAATGTACCGGTCATAAGTTTTACAACTCATACAACATGTATGTAGTTCTTCTGTAAATGTAAGTAGTTCAAGTCCAAGTAAAACCCCAAAGTAAGCAGCAAACTGCCAAAGTTAACACTGTTTACGTCACCAAAACAGACATTTTCAGATCTAAAATGAACAATTAAATGAAGGAGTTTTGTTCATTATTTCACTGTAGGATCAACCGATGACCTTCTGCTCTGTCTGCCTTCATTAATATTATGTATATATATAATATAGTACAAATAAAGCTTCTGATGGTGTATTAACAGGCTGTTCAAAGGAGTTTACTGTGGAAATGTGTTTACGCATCAACTTGAAGGCGTTTTTGTGTGTGTGCTGTTAAATGCGTTATGTTTAAGGAAGGATGAAGGTATGTAAGGCTATGTTTAAAAAATTTTCTATAGCATCAGAAGCTCTCCCCCACTTGTATTTGAAGTCAGTACGTGCAGTACTGAACCCAGTAAGAACCCGTTTGGGTTTCCCATCATGATTATGGTGACCAAAATGATCACGTTCATTAAACTCTGTTATAATGATAATTTATATTTGTAAAGGTTATACTAAGCATCGGGAACGCTACCGTGGTTAAACCGTTTCATTCGTATCCCTGACACCTGGGTCCTCTCTGGAAGACTGTCGTTATTCTCCAGGCTCACTGTCAGGGCCAGGTGTGTCCTCAGAAGGACCTAATAATATTAGGTCATCTGCAGAACGTAGACATTGTGTGTCAGAGAAGGAGAGCAGCGAGATCTGATGTCTTAGTGATTACAGAGCGAGAGCATGGTGTCCTTGTTTGTTAATGAGGGGGTAGAAATGTAGTTTGATGTTGTGTTCAGGACATTATGTTCCCTGAGGAAGTCCTTCCCCAGGTTGCTGCTCACCCGCACTGATACCTCCTTTGCTTTGGGTGTCGGGGAAACGTTGGAGGCTCACAGCGAGGGGGGAATACGTTTCATAACGCCGTGTTGTTCTCTGTCCCGCTACCAGAGGAGTGTGACGATGAAGATGATCCGGAATACAACTTCCTGGCCGACGTCGATGAACCCGACCAGGAGGATTACCGTGACGACAAGGCTGTCCGCATCACCAGTCAGTGCGCACACACACACTGTAAGATAATCTTTGTTTTGATGATCGGATCCTGAAACGTTTGGTGTTAAATATCTTCTGTGTCCTGCAGAGAAGGAGGTGAACGAGCTGATGGAGGAGCTGTTCCAAACTGTGAGTCTCTGCAGTCTTTACACACACAAACACACGTCTGTTACCCAGGCTGATGTTAGCGTAGCTTAGCATAAACACTGGAAACACACAGCTGGCCTGGCTCTGTCAGTCAGTGCTGGCACCAAACTAGGAAGCAGCAGTGTTCCATCTACACCACCCACCACACATATGAACTGCTTGTGTTTCAGTTGAAAGAAGACCTCGCAGGACAGGAAGTGGAAGATGAAGGCCATGAGGAAGAGGAGGAGCCTCAGGAGGAGACTCTCACTGTTGAAACACACACACCTGAGGAGCAGCACAACACGTATGTAACACACACACACACAGGTGTGATCGGGTGTCGTCCTGGCCCGCTGACCTGCTCTGCTTTCATCACAGAGGACCGGGCGATGACGAGGCGGAGGACGGACCAATCGCAGGGCGGCGTACGGTGAAGCAGCAGCTGGCGTTGATCAGGAAGAGACAGCAGCTCGGTCTGCAGACACACACGCTGTGTAACACACACACACACAGCCCAGAGCCGTACACACTGAAGCTGGAGGGCCAGCAGAGGGGCCGCCTGCAGCAGCAGCTTCAGCAGGTACACCTGTATACCTAGAGCAGCTACACCTGTACACCTACACGTGTACACCTGTGCAGCTACACGTGTACACCTGTGCAGCTACACGTGTACACCTAGAGCAGGTACACCTGTATACCTGTATACCTAGAGCAGCTACACCTGTGCAGGTACACGTGTACACCTAGAGCAGCTACACCTGTACACCTACCGCAGGTACACCTGTATACCTACTGCAGTTACACCTGTACACCTGTATACCTACTGCAGCTACACCTGTACACCTAGAGCAGCTACACCTGTACACCTACCGCAGGTACACCTGTATACCTACTGCAGTTACACCTGTACACCTGTATACCTACTGCAGCTACACCTGTACACCTAGAGCAGCTACACCTGTACACCTACCGCAGGTACACCTGTATACCTAGAGCAGCTACACCTGTATACCTAGAGCAGCTAAACCTGTGTACACCTAGAGCAGGTACACCTGTATACCTGTATACCTAGAGCAGCTACACCTGTGCAGGTACACGTGTACACCTAGAGCAGGTACACCTGTATACCTAGAGCAGCTACACCTGTATACCTAGAGCAGCTAAACCTGTGTACACCTAGAGCAGGTACACCTGTATACCTGTATACCTAGAGCAGCTACACCTGTGCAGGTACACGTGTACACCTAGAGCAGGTACACCTGTATACCTAGAGCAGCTACACCTGTGCAGCTACACGTGTACACCTAGAGCAGCTACACGTGTACACCTAGAGCAGGTACACCTGTGCAGCTACACGTGTACACCTAGAGCAGCTACACGTGTACACCTAGAGCAGCTACACCTGTATACCTGTATACCTAGAGCAGCTACACCTGTGCAGGTACACGTGTACACCTAGAGCAGGTACACCTGTATACCTAGAGCAGCTACACCTGTGCAGGTACACGTGTACACCTAGAGCAGGTACACCTGTATACCTAGAGCAGCTACACCTGTGCAGGTACACGTGTACAGCTAGAGCAGGTACACCTGTATACCTAGAGCAGCTACACCTGTGCAGGTACACGTGTACACCTAGAGCAGGTACACCTGTATACCTAGAGCAGCTACACCTGTGCAGGTACACGTGTACACCTAGAGCAGGTACACCTGTACACCTAGAGCAGCTACACCTGTACACGTCAGGTCGTGCTCTTACCGATGCAGATGACTAAATGCTCTCTGTCTCTCCATCTGTCAGCACATCCAGCTGCTGACACAGATTCACCTGTTGAGTTCACCTGTGGCCAAACTTCACAGTGAGGCTGAGACCACCAGACAGTTCCTGGTAACACACACACTTATTCTGTGAGCTCAGAGCTGCTCACATTTAAATCTACTCTAAAATATTCCTCCTGTGTGATTGTAGGATGTAAATAAACATGTTGCTATGGTGACGCCTCTCTCTCTGTCAGTTTGAGCTTGAGCTGTTGGCTCAGAGGGGCGAGCTGCTGATGTCTTCGGGTCGTCCTGGTTTCTGCAGCGTCTTCAGAGCCTCCAACCTGCAGGGGGCGCTGCAGCTGCTGGAGGAGCTGCGACAGACCCCCATCAGCTACCAGCCGCAAGACCACCCACCCGACACCAGAGGACACAGTGAGTAACACCTGCAGCTAGGAATCATGGGAGGTCTGGGGGGCGAGGAGTTAGCAGGGTTTAAACGTGACGATGTGGTTCTGTGTTCAGTGCGTTGTTACCCCGTCATGCCGGCTGAGCTGGCCTGGCTCTTTGCCACCCGTCCGGTCTTCCTCTACCCAGAGCTGCTACCCTGTGCCAGCCTGGACCCGGCGTTATACTGCCCCCGCAGGACGGCTGCCTTCACTGCAGCTGAGGACTGGTAAACGCACACACGCAGAGTTACTGTGTGTTGAGCTGTGACAGCGGCGTGAACGTTGTGTGTTTCTGTGTGTGTGTTATCAGCCTCCTGGTTCTCGGGCTCAGGAACATGGAGGGGTCATGTGACCCGACTAAGCTGGTGTCTCAGTTCCTGCTGAGGAAGACTCTGGTCCAGGTCCGACGGAGAATCCTGCAGTGCTGCAGACCTGGTTTCCCTGACAACATCGTCAAGGTAACGTCCTTGTCCAGCTGACTGAAGTTTCACCTCTCGGACTGCGTTTGACTCGGTGTCCTCTGCAGGCGTTCAGGTACCAGCGGGTTCTGTGGCCGATGCCGGTGGCCTGCCGTTACGTTAACCCTGCGGAGCAGCGCCCCCCGGTGGAGAGAGAGGAGCGAGTCATGCCTCTGTGGCTGGTGGTAAGTGATGTGGCAACGCTTCAAGTACTTATTGTTGTGGTCGACCTACAGGACGCCCTCAGAACAAAACATGGACCAGTCCTGATCCCCGACAGTGGTGTCCCGTCCTGGGGTCTCATTTATAAAAACTCACTAAAAGTGTACGTGCGTCCAAAAGCCAAAAAAGGCGTACGGCAAAAAATACTCAGACTTATAAAACTGTGCGTACGCACATCTGTAAGCAAGTTCCGCTCCTTTTGGTGAAGCTGAAGCTGTTTGGTGGGTAAAAAATACACTTTCCCGATCCCTGACAGTAGTCGCCGCCCCCGATCTCTGACAGTAGTCGCCGGCCCCGATCTCTGACAGTAGTCGCCGGCCCCGATCCCTGACAGTAGTCGCCGGCCCCGATCTCTGACAGTAGTCGCCGGCCCCGATCCCTGACAGTAGTCGCCGGCCCCGATCCCTGACAGTAGTCGCCGGCCCCGATCCCTGACAGTAGTCGCCGGCCCCGATCCCTGACAGTAGTCGCCGGTCCCGATCCCTGACAGTAGTCGCCGGTCCCGATCTCTGACAGTAGTCGCCGGCCCCGATCCCTGACAGTAGTCGCCGGCCCCGATCCCTGACAGTAGTCGCCGGTCCCGATCCCTGACAGTAGTCGCCGGCCCCGATCCCTGACAGTAGTCGCCGGTCCCGATCTCTGACAGTAGTCGCCGGCCCCGATCCCTGACAGTAGTCGCCGGCCCCGATCCCTGACAGTAGTCGCCGGTCCCGATCTCTGACAGTAGTCGCCGGTCCCGATCCCTGACAGTAGTCGCCGGTCCCGATCTCTGACAGTAGTCGCCGGTCCCGATCTCTGACAGTAGTCGCCGGTCCCGATCTCTGACAGTAGTCGCCGGTCCCGATCTCTGACAGTAGTCGCCGGCCCCGATCTCTGACAGTAGTCGCCGGCCCCGATCTCTGACAGTAGTCGCCGGCCCCGATCTCTGACAGTAGTCGCCGGCCCCGATCCCTGATAGTAGTCGCCGGCCCCGATCCCTAGTCGCCGGCCCCGATCCCTGACAGTAGTCGCCGGTCCCGATCCCTGATAGTAGTCGCCGGTCCCGATCCCTGATAGTAGTCGCCGGTCCCGATCCCTGATAGTAGTCGCCGGCCCCGATCCCTGACAGTAGTCGCCGGCCCCGATCCCTGACAGTAGTCGCCGGCCCCGATCCCTAGTCGCCGGTCCCGATCTCTGACAGTAGTCGCCGGTCCCGATCTCTGACAGTAGTCGCCGGTCCCGATCTCTGACAGTAGTCGCCGGTCCCGATCCCTGATAGTAGTCGCCGGCCCCGATCCCTAGTCGCCGGCCCCGATCCCTGACAGTAGTCGCCGGCCCCGATCTCTGACAGTAGTCGCCGGTCCCGATCTCTGACAGTAGTCGCCGGTCCCGATCTCTGACAGTAGTCGCCGGTCCCGATCTCTGACAGTAGTCGCCGGTCCCGATCTCTGACAGTAGTCGCCGGTCCCGATCCCTGACAGGAATAGTCCCCTGTTGGATCAGTAATGAGAGAACATGATGTGCAGTAGGTTCTGTAAACGTCTGTCGATCAAAGATCAATAAGTATTAATCAGTTTTGTTTGTACTCCCCACAGAGGAGTCTACCAGTCATATACCCGACCATCAAACGCTATAACAGCCCGTCTGGCTCTGCCCCCGAGGCCCCGCCTCCTCGCAGCTCAGGTGGACCTCGTCATAGTCAGCTAACCTTCCTCCGCTCTGCCTCAAACACCTACAGCTTCCCCCCCGGGACCAGATACCCACACCGCCTTCCCAAAAACCTGGACTTCAGACGCATTGGCTTTGTGCTGCTGCAGGAGCCCCTCCCCCTGACTCCCCCTGACTCCTCCCCCCTCCCTGACACCCAGGTGGACTCCTCCCCCCCACCTCGTTGCCCCCGAGATCTCAGTCCTCCCCAAGTCCTCCTCCGCCGCTTCCTCCTTTCCAGGACCGACCCCCTCGCTGACGTCATCACCAGCTCATCCGACTCCATGACGACAAGAGAGCGAATCAGACGTCACTATCGGATTCTCACCAGCCTGAAGAGTAGGAGCAATGAAGAGGCTCCTCCTCCTCCTGAAGATCCCGCCCCCTCTCAGATGGAGGTGCATGAGAGCAATGATGTCATCAGGATGAACGATGAGGAGGAGGAGGAACAAGGGGAGGAGAGGGAGGAAGAAGAGGAAGAGGAGGAGAGCGAGGTCTTCCTGGCTCTGTCTGAATCCTCATCCAGCTCCACAGGAAGTGTTGCCCTTGACGACGACCTGGCCGAACTCGAGGAGGCGGAGTCAGAGAGTGAACAGGAAGTGACTTGCAGAGCAGCAGCAGAGTCCCTCCTCCTGCCGCAGGTCAGTCAAATACAATAGGCTGTTCTCAGCCTTCTTGTGCTCTTGTGAAACATGGTTCACGGTTCAGATTCCTGGATGTGTTCTTGGCACGTCCATTTTACCCAGGATGCATCGGTTGGTAACTTCTAGAAAAAGAGCCGGCGGGGGAAGCTTGCGATACAGCGGGCAGGGTCAGCTAGCTCAGGTAAACACCGGCACACAAAACCGTCTGGCCCCGCCTCTCTCTGTCTGACGCAGCCTATCAACAGCCGAAACCAACGTGCACCCTGTGTGTTCACTGCTGCTGGAAAAGATCCACCGCGACTTGTAACGAGGGACGCAGCGATTCCAGGCTTTGCTGGTCCGATCGCAGTCTGAGGAATAATCACGTTTCACGACTATAATCCATTAATTTAACAACACCAGTAATGACTCAGGTTGATTTTTAATGACATTAACAATTAGATTTCTATAAAATGTAAGTATTCTTAACATGAGAGGAATATTGAGGGGAAACTGTTACTGTCATCAACTCTCATCCATACGTGTAGGTTTCAGTGTGAATGATGAGAACGTCTCTCCTGAGTGTGATTAATATCTGGAACGCCGGGAGTCGGTACTCTCCAGAGGACGACGTTCTTCCAGCCATTATCAGCGTGGAAGCCGGGTCCAGCGAGCGCGCGAGCTCGGCGTGCGGCGCGTGTTGCTCGACGCAGCGACAAACCGCCGTGGCGCGGCGCCGGCCGCTGAGAATAACGGGCCTCGTCGCGCTGCGGTGGCTTTGAACGGTTCCAGCTGCTGTGTTTGTTTACGCTGACAGCGACACGTTTATATTTAATTCCCCACCGACCTGCCGCGTCGTTGAACTCTGTGATCACGTGTGACCTTTACTTGGAGACCAGAGTTTAGCCGGGGAACAGCAGCCTCCGTGTCTCCGAGCAGCTGCTGCTCCTCTAACTCTGCTTCCAGTTTGGAGCTTCAGGATGATTCAGGATCAGGTTTGTTTGTGTGCAGGAAGCGGACCAGAGGGGGTCTGAGGACAAGAGGGGGTCTGAGGACCAGAGGGGGTCTGAGGAGGAGGTCTTCGCTCAGGATTATCTCCTCAGAGTAAGACCTCTGACATCACAACATGTTTCATTGTGACTTCCTGTTGTTACTGTTGTTTCTTCAACACGCCAGATGTTTGTCTGCACTTCCTGTTTCCTGTGCAGGTGTGTGATGCGGTGCAGGGGTCACAGGGCCTCTCAGAGCAGCTGCTGCAGGTGCTGGATCAGTTCTCGGCAGCGGGGCCCCTGGGGTCCCCGAAGGCTCTGTATGACGGCCTGAGCTGTGTGCTGCAGCCGTGGCCTCAGCTGCTCAGAGACTTCGCCGCCTTCCTGAACCAAGGACAGGCCCGCCGCTGCGGACTGGTGGGTAACGTTACTCTGACATCACGGCATGATGTCACTCAGGTGCAGACCGAACTAACTCTTCTTCTGTGGTTTCTTCTGTCAGCTGCCGGAGCAGCAGCTGTTTGAACGCAGTCGGCGGTTTCTGAGGCGACTGGGGCAGAGCCTGGGAGAAGGCTCCGCCCCTTACCAGCAGGTGGTGTCGGTGCTGCAAGGAAGCGCCGCCCCCCCACCCGATGACATGGACAAGGTAGAGGATGACCTTTGACCCCCCAGCCAATCACCAGTTCTCATTATTGCTTTTCTTCTTCTCTCTGAGGGTTTCTGGAGGTCTTGCTTTTGTTTCTGGTCGGCGAGCTCTTCTTCTTCTACTGTCTTTATTACCACTGATGGAACCACTTCCTGTCACAGCGCTCACAAACCTCGCTGTGTTTCTCCTTCAGGTCTCCTCGCTCCTCAAACGCCACCCGGGCCTGCAGGAGGAATTCTGGGAGTTTTTCCAGCAGCTTCACGGCCAGTCGTCACCCGTAGCAACCAGCTCCGAGACCGCGGAGAGGGACTGCGTTTCCCAGAATCCTCCTGATGGGAACGGGAAGAGAGTCGACCGCCAGGCGTCTGAAGAGTGCGAGACAGGAAGTGACCGAGAGGAAGGGGCGGAGTCAGAGCGACCGGTCTGCGCCAAAAACATCTCGATGACGTCAACCGGAGAGAAAGTCGTCGTATGGACCCGGTCAGAACACAAACACGCCGCTGATACCAGATCAGCTGCTGACAGGATGTGATGAAACTTCCTGTTGTGTCTTTAGAGAATTAAAATTGGTTTTGATAACGTCACAGTGTCTGTCTGATTAAAGTTTGAACGCACTGATGCTAGCTAGCATGACTAGCAGCTGAACCACTCTGACCTCTTCCTGTTTCAGGGAGGCGGACCGCGCCATCCTGACCGCCTGTCAGCAGAGAGGAGCCAATCGGAAAACGTTCAGACGTGTCTCCGCCCAGCTGGGGAACAAGACCGCCCAGCAGGTGAGGAGGGGGGCGGGGCTTCAGACGCTCAGTCATGTTCACTCCAGGGTTCCAGGTCTTAAATAAGTTTCCTTCGTCCATGAAACGCCACCTAAATGCTCCCGCAGCGCTTTACAATGACCCCCCTCTTTCTTTTTCAGGACGTTCCACATTGTTGTGCTTGCTCTGCTCGATGTTTGTCCGACGGCTCTGCTCGATGTTTGTCCGACGGCTCTGCTCGATGTTTGTCCGACGGCTCTGCTCGATGTTTGTCCTTGTCCGACGGCTCTGCTCGATGTTTGTCCTTGTCCGACGGCTCTGCTCGATGTTTGTCCGACGGCTCTGCTCGATGTTTGTCCGACGGCTCTGCTCGATGTTTGTCCGACGGCTCTGCTCGATGTTTGTCCGACGGCTCGGCTCGATGTTTGTCCGACGGCTCGATGTTTGTCCGACGGCTCTGCTCGATGTTTGTCCTTGTCCGACGGCTCTGCTCGATGTTTGTCCTTGTCCGACGGCTCTGCTCGATGTTTGTCTGACGGCTCTGCTCGATGTTTGTCCTTGTCCGACGGCTCTGCTCGATGTTTGTCTGACGGCTCTGCTCGATGTTTGTCCGACGGCTCTGCTCGATGTTTGTCCGACGGCTCTGCTCGATGTTTGTCCGACGGCTCTGCTCGATGTTTGTCCTTGTCCGACGGCTCTGCTCGATGTTTGTCCTTGTCTGACGGCTCTGCTCGATGTTTGTCTGACGGCTCTGCTCGATGTTTGTCCTTGTCTGACGGCTCTGCTCGATGTTTGTCTGACGGCTCTGCTCGATGTTTGTCCTTGTCCGACGGCTCTGCTCGATGTTTGTCTGACGGCTCTGCTCGATGTTTGTCCTTGTCCGACGGCTCTGCTCGATGTTTGTCCTTGTCTGACAGCTCTGCTCAATGTTTGTCCGACGGCTCTGCTCGATTGTCCTTTTCTCCCACAGACAGCTCTCTGGTCTTCATGCTGGTTTGTCCACTTTAACAGGAAATGCAGTCTTTATAGGTTTGAACCAAGGATGGAAACTGAGACTAGTCATGCAGAGCTAGTTAATGTTTGGACAGTCAGCCTAAAAGGCAACAGCTGGGCAACAAGAAACATCTGGGACATGTTCCAGTAGTTTTCTCACTTGTAAAATGGGCGGGTTCAAACAAAAGGTGGTTTGTCCTGAGTTATTTAACTTATCTAGACGTGAATACCAGGAAATAAAAGCTGAGATTCTGAACTCTACTGATCTTTTGATCTTAAACCCAAATGTCTTCAGAGAACAACAGAAACAAAGGAACTGGTCCAGTCTGTATTTCTGGTATTATCTGGTGTTATATATCCAGAGATGGCGCAGGGCGCTTCAGCTCTGCTGCTACGACTCCATCCAGTAGTAATTCACAGGGGCGGGGACTCGAGTCGCAAATTTGAAGACTTGAGACGTGCTTGACTAAAACAGACTTGGTGTTCATATTTGCATTCGTTTGCTTCACACAGCGGTCCAGATCTCCGTAACCAGCGGCGTGTAAAAAGACCTTTACGTATAACGTGTGGTACAACACAGACTTTCAAGGATTATGTTGTCGATGACGGTAGGAAGAAAAGAACAGTGGCGTGCAGCTCAGAAATCAGTGACACGACCACAACATCCAACTTCATCCGTCTCTACAGCAGCTATAAAGAAGGTTACGTCTGCGGCTTTTTAGCTAACTGAACTTATTGGCTGGTCGAACGCTTAGAAAGCTAACGTTTCGTTTAAGCTGCACCAAGTTGTTTGGCTGCAGTTTGTAACCTCTTAACATTCCTGGTGGTAACAGGTCCTGGCGGCAGCTCTCAGTCTGCCCACAGCTGCTCCAGATGATCCAACGTCTGACTGACCAGTGCAAACCGTCACCACAGCGGGTCCAATCTCAATCCTCTGTCAGACCAGCCGGGACGGCAAAAGTGAGGCGACTCCCCTGTGAAGCCTCACAGTAACTTAATCCAGCCATCGATCATATTCCAACAGAAACGTTGTCAAAGGTCCAGACGATCCAGTCCAGTAAAACATTTAGTCCAAAACACACGATTCCATCAGTAAATCCTCAGGGACGGCTGCCGCACCGCTTCAGATTCACCGGCAGACGCGGCTCGTTTGTCTTTATAACCGGAATAACTCTGATCTGAATGTAACGGCTACGACAGCTTGTATTCAGATTATCGGCTGAACTCTGACCTTTCCGCTGACTGCTGATCCGAGCCAATAGGAGCTCACGCGTCCCTTTCACAGCCTACAGCGGCCAACGAGAGCCGGCGCTGCGAGGAAGGGCCGGCCCCCGATATTTCCCGGGTAGGCCGAGCCAATAGAGCCGACGACTGGCGCTTCCTGTAGCCAATAAGATTCTGCAAATAACGACATCCAGCTTTAAGGAGGAAGTTCATGATCTACCAGCAGAAACGCACGTCTGCGTGGAGCTGCCTGCTGATACGGAGCGACGCAGCAGCCGCCGCCCGCCTGCCACCAGGGGTGGGGCTGATTTAGAAAAAACACGCTGAGACAGACGCTCAGAAAAACCTGCGGACAGCAGATATTTTATTCATTTAGCTGACGCTTTTATCCAAAGAGACTTACAGCTGCTGTACGTGTCAGAGGTTGCACGCCTTGCTCAGGGTCATAGTGGGGAATTGAACCCGGGTCTCTCACACCAAAGGCACGTGTCTTATCCACTGCACCATCACCGCCCCATTTTTCATGGTACTGGTATGAAGTCTAAACTTGTTCTAGGTAAGGCTTTATGCTGCGGCCCTTTTCTTCAATTAAACAAAGATAAAACTGAAGTTATTGTCTTTGGAGCCCATGAGGAACGATTTAAAGTCAGCGCTCGACTTCAATCTGTAATGTTAAGAACCATAAATCAAGCCAGAAATCTTGGTGTGGTCATGGACTCAGACCTGAATTTGAGGAGCCACATTAAGACAATTACAAAGTCAGCCTACTATCACCTGAAGAATATATCAAGGATTAAAGGACTCAGCAGGACCTGGAAAAGCTTATCCATGCATTTATCTTCAGGCTCCCTAAGAAATCCATCAGACAGCTGCAGCTGATTCAGAACGCTGCTGCTCGAGTCCTCACTAAGACCAAAAGGTGGATCACATCAGTCCAGTTCTGAGGTCTTTACATTGGCTTCCTGTCTGTCAAAGAATTGATTTCAAAATCCTGCTGTTAGTTTATAAAGCACTAAATGGTTTAGGGCCAAAATAAATTTCTGATCTTCTGCTTCATTATGAACCATCCAGACCTCTCAGGTCGTCTGGGATCAGGTCTGCTTTCTGTCCCCAGAGTCAAAACTAAACAAGGAGAAGCAGCGTTCAGTTATTATGCTCCGTATATCTGGAACAAACTCCCAGATAACTGCAGGTCTGCTGAAACTGTTCTTTTAAATTAAGACTGAAGACTTTTCTTTTTACGGCTGCCTTTAATTAAATGAAAGCCGTAGATTAGTAAGTTTCACTGTAACTTTTTTTATAATGAGTTTTACTTTTCCAGTTTCCCTGTGGTGCTTTCACGTTTTATGTAAAGCACTTTGAATTGCCTTGTTGCTGAAATGTACAGATAAACGTGCCTTACAGTGTTTTCCTGCCAGCTGTAGTCGTCTGCTTCGTGCGTTTGTTAGAAAACTTTCTTTGAGGGGAAACCAAACATATATTAGTTTTAGTGTGTTTGAACTCGAGTTACCGACACGTGTTTCCGTTACTCTGTTTTTCTAGCCCAGTTCAATAATCAGTGAAGCTACTAGACTAAATAATGTTGACCGTTAAACCTAAAGACGGATCCTCTGTTTCCTCCAGGTGAGTCTCCGTTTCCACGACCTGATGAATCTTTTCCACTCCGCCTTCCAAAAGTCCTCGGAGAGCCGGCCAGTCGGCACGCAGGAAGCAGCCCTGGGCTAGTTCCTCTGACCTTCTGCCGGTGTTGGGACGGCAGCTGATCAGGATCCAGTTCTCCGGAGCTCCGCTGTTCACTAAAGCTGGTCTCCCTTCGCTCTGGGTTCTCCAGAGATCCAGAAGAACATCCGGATCTGTAGAATCCGTCAGGACTCTAGAGCTCTCGATGTGATCTAGAACGATGGTCGGCCTTCGTATTTAATGATTATTTATTTTTGATTGAGCTGATGTCACAGAGACCCGCCCGCTGTGGCAGGGGACGTGGCCTCTGTGATGTCACAGCGAGGTCAGAAACAAGAAGGAAACACTAAAGAAACGAAGTGACGAGAAGCTGAACTCTTCTTCTGCTGCTTTGAACTTCCTGCCTTTAGTTTTCTCACACCTGATGGAACACCAGATCGGGTTCTGCAAGGCCCCCCTGCTGAGAACCAGAGACGCTGCTGGTCCTGTGGAGCGCCACGTGAACTCTGCGTTTCCCTTCACATTTTCAAACATCAAACTTTTGCACTGAAAATGAAAACGGATGTTATTCTTTCTGCAGCTGTAAATCTGTTTCTGTTCGGAGGTTTAGTCTTCCCATGATGCACCACCTGATCCATCCCATGGTTCCCAGCGGACTTATGTTCGTGACGTTCCGTCAAGCTTTTTATAGGAAATGTTTGTTTATCATATTGAATATGAATGGATGAAGGTCGACTGCTTCAATAAAACATTTTTACGTTTTTCAGACCGTTTCACTGGTTCTGTTGGAAACAAAGTTCATCTGCAGGTTTGTGAGAAATGAAAAGCAGAACTGAAGAAATAAATAAATCAATGTTTTTCAGTCACAGTTTGTAAAAAACATTTAACGTCATTAAATAAGGAAACAGGAAAAAATGCAGAAACACAGAGCTGATGAAATGTGACGTAAGCCGCTAACCTGCAGCATTTTCTTTTAAAAATATAAGCAGTTAACTTACAGCAGCAGTTTCATAGATGGTGTCAGATTGTTTATCAGATGTTACACATTAAAAACATGACAGATCAGGAATCTGGAGGTTACTGAGTGCAGACAGAGAAACCAAATCAAACTTTCTCAGGTAATTTTAGTTCAGGAAGTTATTGAATGTTTATATTTTGTTATTAGAAATTCAGCTCAATGTTTTGTTTCTCTGCTTGACGTACATCAGAAAATATAATGCTGTACAACTGAGAGAGATGAAAGTGTATAAAAACATGTTGAATGGAATTTATGTGAAATTAAAGTGAGTTGAAATAAAGTTCTGAGTTTATATAAAACACAATAAAAGGCAGAAACCTTTTTAAAAGCATCACCCACAGGAGGGCGGTGGTGACGCATTGTGATTGACAGGTTCCTGGACCAATGACACGGCTACACACATCACGTCTAACCGCTGTGAACCAATCAGAGAGCCACTTTCCGGTATTTTCTCTTCACGTCCCGCCTTCCAGCTGACAGCTGCAGAGAGGCGCGAGATGGTGAAGGTAGCTGCAGGGAGGCAGGAAGCTCGCCTTCACATTAAAAGCACATCATATAACATGAAACAAAGATGCGTCGGGTAGTGTCTCCGTTGTGTCAGGAGGAGCGAAATGTTACTACGGTTTGAGTTTCCTTTAAAGGTCGATAATTTGTTCACTCTTCCGCTTTAAATATGTGATTAATGTCCCACACAAGGCTTTTATTCTGGAATGTCCGAGCGGAAACGTCCGTCACTCCCGGTAGCTTCACGGTGCCTGCGGTGCGGAGGGTCTCCGGTGTGAACCGTCTCCTCAGCATGTGTCGTTTTTCCACCTGAATCCCGGTCCGTTTCTCTCCGTCATGGCGGCCGCTGTCGCCTTCTTCCCGCCGTCACGTTCGCGCTGTTGTCTTGTTTTCCCGCCGCGGTGTCTTCGCGCAGAGACGTGCTCGAGCTCGGTGACGCGGATTTCGACTACCTGGCAACGGAGCACGAGACCATGCTGGTGAAATTCTACGCTCCATGGTAACGTGGGGGGGGGGGTTAGCGTTAGCACAGCTAGCTCCGAAAATAAACAGATAGCTTTCAGTGTTAACCTCTGATGCTTCCTTCACTCCTTTCATCCATCCTTCCTCAATCCTACATGCTCCTTTCCTCGTCTCTGTCTTCCCTCCCTCCTAAATCTCGTTCTTCCCTTCTTAACTTCTCATCACCTCCTTTTAGGGCCCGAGCACGACCGTGCGAGGTCCCTATTGAAATTGCTCGGATTATTATTTTTAGGGCCCGAGCACGACCGTGCGAGGTCCCTATTGAAATGCTCGGATATTAGGGCCGAGCACGACCGTGCGAGGTCCCTATTGAATCTGCTCGGATTATATTTTTTTTTTTTTTTTTTTTTTTTTTCTGCAAAGTAGGCCCAAATGACATGGCCTAAACATACTCGAAAACTCACCAAAATTTGCAAACATGTCAGAACCGGTGAAAAATTTCGTATTCTACAAGTTTCGCACATGGGCGTGGCAAAATGACTCGCTAGCGCCACCTTGAAAATTGGAAATGATTAGCCCCTCGTTCACGTTCAACCTACATGTACGAAATTTTCTGGGGACATGTATCGTATCAAGACGCACAAAAAAGCCTCAAGAACCCATAGCCTAAAGTCAACAGGAAGTCGGCCATTTTGAATTTATGGCCATTTTTGGATGATTTACACACTTCGTACTTAACGAACTCCTCCTAGGGATTTAGTCGGATCGACGTCAAATTTCTGCTGTGCCTTCTAAAGGCATTGATGATGAAAAGTTGTGCTATTTGCGAGTTTTCGTCAATGGGCGTGTCCGTGGCGTCGATGATTCGCAATGAAACAGGAAGTTGTTGTAACTTTAGTGTACATGCTCACATCTGGACCAAACTGTACATGTAGGATGAGAGTCCCGCCCTGAACACATGTACATGCCGACATTCACCACAGTCATAGCGCCACCTGCTGGCAACAGAAAGTGACCTTTAACGAAAGCCCCGCCGCACGTTTCACCTACGTGCACGAATTTTCTGTGGTACGTGTATCATGTCCAGACGCACAAAAAAGCCTCTTGGAGCCATAGCCTAAAATCAACAGGAAGTCGGCCATTTTGAATTTTACGTCAAATTTTGGATGATTTACACACTTCGTACTTTAACGAACTCCTCCTAGGGATTTAGTCCGACCGACCTCAAATTTGTGCTGTGCCTTCTAAAGGCATTGAAGATGAAAAGTTGTGCTATTTGCAAGTTTTCGTCAATGGGCGTGTCCGTGGCGTGGCGTCAAAGATCAACTCTTCGCCATGACGGGAAGTTGTCGTATCTTCAGTGTACATGCTCACATCTGGACCAAACTGTACATGTAGGATGAGAGTCCCGCCCTGAACACATGTACATGCTGACATTCACAGACAGTCATAGCGCCACCTGCTGGCAACAGGAAGTGACTTTTAACGAAGCAGCCCCCGCCGCACGTTTTACCTACGTGCACGAATTTTCTGTGGTACGTGTATCTTGTCCAGACGCACAAAAAAGCCTCTTGGAGCATGCCCTAAAATCAACAGGAAGTCGGCCATTTGAATTTTACGTCAAATTTTGGATGATTTACACACTTCGTACTTTAACGAACTCCTCCTAGGGATTTAGTCCGACCGACCTCAAATTTGTGCTGTGCCTTCTAAAGGCATTGAAGATGAAAAGTTGTGCTATTTGCAAGTTTTCGTCAATGGGCGTGTCCGTGACGTGGCGTCAAAGATCAGCTCTTCGCCATGACACGGAAGTTGTCGTAACTTCAGTGTACATGCTCACATCTGGACCAAACTGTACATGTAGGATGAGAGTCCCGCCCTGAACACATGTACATGCTCACATTCACAGACAGTCATAGCGCCACCTATGGCAACAGGAAGTGACTTTTAACGAAGCAGCCCCCGCCGCACGTTTTACTACGTGCACGAATTTTCTGTGGTACGTGTATCTTGTCCAGACGCAAAAAAAGCCTCTTGGAGCGATGCCCTAAAATCAACAGGAAGCGGCCATTTTGAATTTTACGTCAAATTTTGGATGATTTACACACTTCGTACTTTAACGAACTCCTCCTAGGGATTTAGTCCGACCGACTTCAAATTTGTGCTGTGCCTTCTAAAGGCATTGAAGATGAAAAGTTGTGCTATTTGCGAGTTTTCGTCAATGGGTGTGTCCGTGGGTGGCGTCAGAGATCAAGTCTTCGCCATGACACAGGAAGTTGTTGTAACTTCAGTGTACATGCTCACATCTGAACCAAACTTTACGTGCTTGATAACTCTCCCACCCCGCTATGGAGGACCGATCCTGACACAGTCAGAAATAAATACAGAAATAAATAAATGCTCAATAAATAAATAAGCATCCAATTAAATACACAAAAAAATTAAGTAAATAAATAAATGTAGGTAGTAATTAAATTATACAAGGAGACATAAATGTATATTTTAATTAGTGCCTTTACTTATTCACCTTTGTTATAATTATCTTATTTGTTTATTCAACTTTATTTATTACTAATTTTTTAATGTATTTATTTATGTGTGTGTTTTAATATTTTTGTCTGTTTTACTTCCTTTGTTTATTTACCTTATTTATTTTCACCCATGGTATTATTTCTGCCTGTCTTAAATTTTTGTATGCATTTCTGCCTCACTATGCAAATGAGGAGGGGCTGTGTCTCAAGGGGTCATCTTCTCTGCTATTGGTGGACCAGTCAGACAGGAGAGCTCCTACTCTGCCTGCAGACATCAACGATCTTGCCCCTCACACAGTCAGATGGCTTCCTTCAGTGCGCTGAGGTGTTTAACAACTCTGAAGACAATACTACCAGCAATGTCTTCCTTCTCTTTTCACGTAGAAGCACCGACAGACAGTGCTTTCAGTTTGCTGCATGCATGGACACAACTGCGGTATAGGGAGAAGCACACGGTCAGCTGGCTGCAGCTAAATCTGGAGTGCACTCGTATTCAATTCTGTATGGTAAATTCAGTTTTAACGGAGCAGAGCGAGCTGACAGGCAGAGTTAGAGACTTTTTCTGTCTGTTTCTCTCTTTACAAAGACGCATGTTGCAGTCAGAGTCTTTCTGAGATGCGAGCACGACATACAACACAATTTATCAAATTACACAACGGATATACAGTATGAAAATAAGATTGATTGGATTATACTCACAGGAAGTATAAAACCTCTTACATGGGTCTATTAAAAGTAAAGTAACACAAAAATGTCAGGGAAAACTTACTTAGATTTAAGTACTGCAGTTGTACATTTGAAATACCTTCCTACCTTTCTGATAGGAAGCCTTCTTGAGGTGGTATAAAACATTTCTTCTTATATTCTGATTTGAGTTGTGGACAACTATGACCACATGAATTAAAAAATTAAACATTTCACTGCCCAAGTCAGCTATAACACAAGTCTTGTTCATCAGACTACATGCTGTACAGTATTTGTGGAAGATTTTGTCCCAGGATTTCTTATGCATTTCTTCTTCTTCGTTGCATGATTTAGAATAATAAGGTGAGAAATGGGTCTATCTGAGTTCATCCTGCACTGCAGCAGCTAATAAGTCCATTTCATCCCAAAACGCTTTTCTTTTAGGCAGGCTGGAGCAGAAAACAACTCACCTTTCTCAAGTTGTACAGTAATGTCACATGTGTATGAAGGTGGATCAAACAAGCTAATCTTAAATGTCAAAGTAGAGAGGAGCCTAGTAGGCCTATT